TGGGGGATCTTTGGCATGTACTTTTGCACTTGGATTGTTCTTCACTTGTTTCAACAAACGCGAACGACGCTCTCAGAAATCAGACTGTGCTTCTACAACAAGTATGTCCCCTGCTCCCACACACAGCTACTCCCTCCGTTCCGATTTACTCGTCGTGGTTTTAGTAATTTGAACTAAAACCACGACGAGTAAATCGGAACGGAGGGAGTATTAGATATTGTGCACACCTACGTGTGTAGTTAATTCATGTTGCGCAACTCTTCATTTTGTGTGCATCATTGAGTTCATCTGTGCATGTGCATGGTATCAGAAACCTTTATTTTGCTGCTGTGTATAACTTGCTAGATTAGTGAAATGAGGAAAATATGGAACGAGCAAATGAATGTGTTTCTTCATAATGGTCAATGCAGATCCTGTTTTTGAAGAACGCAGCATCCATATAACTACAAATCCTGCAGTACAACAGTTGTCCTACAAATCGATCCAGAGCGCAACAAATCACTTCAAGAAACTGATAGGAGGGGGTGGGTTTGGAGCTGTTTATCAAGGTACTCTAACACATGGCCAACAAGTCGCAGTAAAAGTCCGTTCACCTGCATCGACTCAGGGAACACGCGAGTTTAACAATGAGGTAATGGCAGATTCTGCACACACCTCCATAAAGAAATCGTGCCGGCAATAGGTTGATCTTATTTTTGGATACAAGAATAATATTGTTCAGGTTCCACAACACTCTTCTCTCCGGTGATTTTTCATAATCTATGCAAGCAGCAACCCGCATAAGCCCGCTTCATGCTGTATGTCGCCCGAGTCGTGCGTTGATGCCATTTCAGTTACTTAGTACGATTTGTATACCTGCTGTGAGGTTTTGCGGGCTTAGCGGCATGCCACTTGCATCCTTATAACCTGTAATTTGGCCACAGCCCCTAACATAAATGTTCAATTGCTCCAGTTAGTTTGTTTATTCCAGTATCTTTGTACTAAAATAATCATTTTGCACGCAAAATTCCCCTAACGACTGAATTTGTCAATTGACACAGTTTGCGCGCAAAGTTCCTCTAACGATTGAATTTGTCGATTGACAGTTACGGCTACTTTCTACTGTGTGGCATGAAAACTTGGTCCCTCTAATTGGCTATTGCTGTGAAAAGGATCAACAGATTTTGGTTTATCCACTCATGTCCAATGGCTCACTACAGGATCGCCTCTACGGTATAAAGCTTTGTGAAGATTTAGCTACTTTTCAACTTAAGATCCTTCTTTTCTGATTTATGTTTCATTTAGGTGAGGCATCAAAACGAAAAGTTCTTGATTGGCCAACCAGAATATCAGTTTGCATTGGCGCTGCTAGAGGTTAGTAGTGTAGTTAATGTTTTTTTTTTGGAGAAGTTCTTGATATTGTCTACAGTAGGATTTGAACTAATTGTTCTTATGTAATTTACGGCCATTCACACTACTTCAACTTCATTCTTCCTCTTCAAATATTTTGATATTGCAAAATTGCAAATGCTTCTTTTGAGTTATTACAACTTAACATAAATTTGTTTCTTGCTCAGGACTAGTATACCTTCACAATTTTGCTGGCCGCTGTATCATACACAGAGATGTTAAGTCTAGCAACATACTTCTGGATCAGAGCATGTGTGGCAAGGTTGCCGACTTTGGGTTTTCAAAGTATGCGCCTCAAGAAGGCGACAGTGTTGCATCAATGGAAGTGAGAGGCACTGCTGGATACTTGGATCCTGAGTAAGTTTGCACATTGATTTCACCATGCGAAATATTGGTACAAACCTGTCTGTATTGATAGTACAGTACTATTTTTGTGCATTGCATGTTATGTATTCATTGCTTTACAATCTCTCTGATTGTGAGTGCTCTATATCTTTTAGATACTATTCCACTCAGGTGTTATCGACCAAGAGCGACGTGTTCAGCTTTGGGGTGGTTCTCTTAGAAATCGTGACCGGAAGGGAGCCTCTCGACGTTCAGAGGCCTCGGAGCGAATGGAGCTTAGTCGAGTGGGTAAGTTTTCACTGCACACCATCAGAAACCATGCATTTTCATCTGCAGCTGCTGGTAGTTCGAGGAAAACGGAAAACAGTAAACTTCAGTTTCATCAGAACTCTAAAGTGTCATCAGCTTATGCAATCTTACAGTGATCTCTGTTGTTACACAGGCAAAGCCATACATACGGGACTTCAGGATCGAGGAGATCGTGGACCCCGGCATAAAGGGGCAGTACTGCTCGGAGGCCATGTGGAGGGTGCTGGAGGTGGCCACGGCGTGCACCGAGTCCTTCTCGACCTTCCGGCCGAGCATGGAGGACATCGCGCGGGAGCTGGAGGACGCGCTCATCATCGAGAACAACGCGTCCGAGTACATGCGGTCCATGGAGAGCACCGGCACCTTCGGCTCCAACCGCTACCTGTCCATCGACAGGAAGATGTTCGCGTCGGGCTCGGCCCGGATCGACCCGGCCAAGTTCGCGTCGGGCTCCGGCCGGATCGACGCCGGCAAAGGGCCTCTGCAGACCATGCCTTCGCTTCCGAGGTAGCACCCCAGTTCTGCCTCCGTCCGTAGCATATGGTGGTCTCGTCTCGTGGATGTGATAGTTGCTGAGGAAGACACAGCCGGAGTTTATACCCGTAGACGCCATGAGTGGCCGAGGGGAGAGGAGGCTACACGACACAGGCCATGCAGTTACTAGTTACCACGGCAGTTTGCTGTGAGGAAAGTTTTCCCCTGGAGACAAAACAGAGGCAGTTTTGCCTGTAAAATTTGTATGTTGAATTCGATGCCTACATGTGCCATGCAACTATTCTTTGGACTTGGACTACTGTTGATGTATTCACTGGCCAACTAAGGCTTAGGCACCATAAATTTGTTATTTCGGACAATTAAAAGCAGTGCCACATTTGGTGTATATCTGTCACCCTCCATTGAATTATACTACTATAAGGCATCCACGCGTTTTATGATTTATTTATGGGAAAAGCTGGTGTTCAACCGACCGATCTTTTTTCTTACGTCCGCCGCGTCCTACGCTTGCCACATCCTTCATCCTTTTCCTGCAACTGGTCACCTGTTTCAGAAAGCAAACCGCAATAAATGGTATGTTGCAGACCGACTAGGAGGTAACTCTGTTGGCGCTGGCTCCCCGACCATGGCGGAGCGAATAGAGTGGGTGGCCGGACCCATGCGGTGGCCATCGATGCCGCCCAGGTACTGGCAGGGAAGAGCCTTGTCTAGTGAACCCAAGAAAGACTGCGACAAAGACGCAGCCTTCCCTGGTGGACGGCGTGCACCCCCTTGGCCGCCTCCGCCACGGTGAGAGCCCGGCAGGAGGTTTCCGTCGGCGGCGGCGAAGCAGGTGCAGGACCAGCGACGTGACACCGTCAACTCGGCCTCGCACAGCGGAAGCCGCGCGTGCCTGCCAAGTCGTGCCCATCGCATGCCGATGAATATTTGCAACAACGGCGGAGTTACAAAACGGCGACGACAGCAATGCTAGTGCTACTGCTGCAACATCTTTTGTTGAAAAAAGAAATCTACAACATCATCCATGTTGCAAAAAGCTAGAGAGAAAAATCTGCAACACAACCTCTGTTGCAAATATTTTCCTGCAACATGGTCTTCGTTGCAATAATGAGGACAAGTCATCTGCTGAGGATCCGCCCGCCAACGCGTAGCATGCCCCTTATTTATACGTACGAAATGGCTTCACACACGACACGGACTGCACGATCTGCGAACGATACACAGTGTGCATGCATCAGCGGACAGAAAAACCAACTCCCTCCTGCATGTACGTGCGCTGCTGTGCTGCCACATGGGATCGTGCACACGTCGGCTGAAGTTTCATCGTGTGTATAGCATCGCTCTTATACGTATTTGTTTTAGTGTTTGATCAACAATTGGTCTCCGCCGGCCAACGCGTAGCATGCCCCTTATTTATATGTATTTGTTTAGTGTTTGCGTAGCATGCCCCTTATTTATACGTATTTGTTTAGTGTTTGATCAACAATTGGTCTTACGAAACATAGGTTTTGCGACATATTCCCTCCGTTCCTAAATATTTGTTTTTTAGAGATTTCAAAGGACTACATAGTTTAGAGTGTTGATTCGCTTATTTTGCTCCGTATGTAGTCACTTGTTGAAATCTCTAGAAAGACAAATATTTAGGAACGAAGGGAGTAAAAGCAGTGCCAAAATACTCCTTAATGTAGTTTTTCTCTAGAACTAGGACGCATCAATAATGGATGTTTGAGTGTTTTTCTCCTCAGCCAACATTCCAAGCGCGGTTCCACAACTAGTAAATGTTACAGAGCCAAAATAGCCGGCTGAGCAAATCTAGCCCCATACTGTCACTACCTACAACTCAAACTAAAAGAACAAAAGCTACAGAAATTTTGAACATTTGGAACACAGCACTAGCAAAAAAATAAATTAAACAAATATGCAATGAACATATCTATTTTGCGTTCTCCTTTTTGAATTACGGGACAAGGCAAGGCTTCAAAGTTCAGCTAAACTATGGTTCTTATATGGGCACAAGATTACGCAGTTTTCTAGAAACTCCACATAGTACAGGCAAAAAAAGGTAAATAGTACGGGTATAACTCATCAGAAAAATCTCCACATAAATAAAACGAAGTAAAAGCTTCATGAGATGGCATCCTTACAACGAGGGCACGATTCTTGCACTCGCCATTTTCTTCATCTTTTTTCCCTTCACTTCTGGTATCAAAAGGAATGACGGCAAACATCCATCACATGTTAGTTCAGGCTCATATATTTTTGACAAGAATCAAGCCCAAACATCCGGAAATGCACCGAACTATAGCTGAAATTCACAATTATCTGTATAAGCTTCTTCGATTCGTTTCCTAACCCAAAACAGAGATTTGACAGATTGGCATCTGTGATCTTTTGCTTTCTGACCACAAGATCATGGAATTCTCTTAACCAGCAACAAAGTCATTCTGTGAAGGTTGAACAATTCAACGCAATTGCTGCGCATGTAGCTCCTTACTCGTTTTCATGCCATCTACAGAATGCCAGACAATTTCACGAGTTCCTTTATCAGTAGAGTTGTCTGCCCCAAACAATTCAAGAGTCCCTTTTTCACTGGAGTTATTTGAGGGGGCGCTGTGAAGTATTTGAAACTGATTATTACTCATGCACCACTCATTGACAGTGATGGCTTGGTCACTAAAATGAGAAGCACTCCCGACACCATCAGAAGGAAATGGAACTGTAACATCAGTTGATCTTCGTGGTCGTCGGACAGGTCTGCTGCTCCTGCTAGAAGATGGGAAATTTCCCTCCCCACCTTTCTGCTTCCCCATAAAGCCACATGCAAGAGCTTCCAGAGCTCGGGATGTTGGTGGGCGGCTTCTGGTACTCTGCCTCCTCGAGTTGAAAGAAAGCTGCTCGCTCAAGATTGCATTACTAGAGGTATTGATATCTGGCAGGCAGTCATCCGCCTCCTTGGTTTCTGAGGGATGCATAGGTATGTCCATGATTAGTGCATTATTGTCAGATGGAGTTTGGATATAACTTGTAGTCGACTCATAATCAGAAGGCATTTGAGGGATATTCAGATCAATAACATGCTTACGTTGAGCTTTTTCCTTGTAAACCACTTCAACATTAGGGGGCACATTGTGAAGCTGTCCGCAATATGTGTGATTGCTATTAGTGCCAAAGGTTATGTTGGTTGATGAGCTTGAAATTGTGCTCCATACAAAAGGGTTGGCCCCTGCACTTGCTTCATTTGCTTTAGGCACAGGTTGCACTGGGGTGTCAGCTTGCTTCCCGTAATGCCTTTTACTGACAGCAGTTCCTTTGCGACCAGTTCTTTCATTCTTGAAAGAAACTAACCTTCTTCTCTTTGGCATAGGTGCTAAGAAAACTTGAGGTTCAGGATTTACTCTTGGATCAAACTGAAAATTAATTTCAGTTGAAGAATTAGTAGCATGTATCCTCTGATTACCAACAGGAAGAACTGTTCCAGCCGAAGAGCAGACATTATTCTTTGTGCCAACACATTGATCAACTGAAACGTGACCATTGACTCTGCCTGGAAAGGAAGAAATCTTATGAAGTACATCAGCAGCCATCTTATCACCAGTTGGGGGATTGTTTTTTCTCTCCTTGTCAACACAGCTTGCATCAGTTTCCCTCTGATTGGTATCCAGATCTTCATAAGGTTCAGAACTGTCTTCTGAATCTGAATGTTCTTCTGAGTTCACACTGACAGAATCGCCAGAATGTGGTGAAGAACTGTAGCCATGACCGGCATCTGTAGGTAGATTTCTTAGTGACCTTACCTTACATGGTTCTTCCCCTTGACCAAAACTAGTGTCCACCACAGTAAATTTCATAAGCTCGGGGGAACACCCTGGTTCACTGGGCCGGATATACGAAGCAGGTTTCTTGTCAGCAAGTGTGCTTTTGTCAGGTTCAACATCATTGATCCATCCAATTGCAATCTTAACCTCACCTCCATTATTATCACCTTCAACTCCAAAATCAAGCAGCCTCGGTTCAGATGCAACTTTTCTCAACACATCGCTGACAGAATCAAAGTAATGATTTCCTTTGACGAGTTTCTTTCTGGAAAATTTCTTTACACCTGGAATGAGGAAGACTAAGGCCTGCTTACCGACTAGTGAGGAATCTTTCGGCTGCTCGGAGTGCCACCCTCTCGCAAGTAAGCGAGGCCAGACAGCTTCCCAAAATAGATCATTAGATTTTGCCTTGCTTAGTCTGAAATCACCAGTCAAATATTTTATGATATCTCCAGACGAAAGTGATGAGCAAGCCTTGCCAATAGGTATTTCTGCACGGCCCGAAATAGCATGGTTTCTACTAGGATCTAATGCAAATCCAGTCAAGTCATACTTTCCCTTGCCAATTCCAACTGCTTCTACAAGAACCTGTGCACCAACTGTGGACTTTAAGCATAAAATAAACTGCTCAAAGTCAGATATCCCCTCATTGAATGTCTTGAAGACCTGCAGATGGTAATATATAATTGTCAGCCTCTCAAAAAAAAACTAGCAGGAGCATAAACTGGTATTGGTGAACATCAATGCAAAGACATGTTATGCGAAAATGCAGGGGCATCCTACAGAAAATAAGTAAGACGACAACAACAACAACATAATTAAATAGAGGTGATAAAGTATACAAAATTCCAGGACTTCTTCAAAAGCAGAAGAGATATGATTGTAATGATCGTACCATGGAAAAATATTGTGGCTGTGCTAATGAAAGGAAGCCCATCCCAAAACATCGGCTTTCCATGTGCCAATGATTCAAAGGATCTAACACAGTGAAAGAATAGGAACAAAAAGGAGGAAATTAAAGTTCAACACACCTCGAGCAAAGGATCTTGAACCTCCCTTGCTACGCCAGCAAGCAAACGTGACAACAGTTCCTGCTGCCTGGAACCAGAAAATATACGCAACCCAAGTATACATCTCCTGCTTCTTACTTTTCTACATGCAGACCATCGTTTATATGCATCAGACTTAAAAAATTCTCCATAGTAGTAGGATAGAACTTCTCCCATTGTCTTGCTCTTTATAAATTTCGTCACCTGAACAAGATTTTTGCCAAAAATGTAGAGACCAAGAAGTAAAGTCTGTCCCTCTTCAACAGACCAGACGTATCTTGACATTCCAGGCAAGGGAATATAATCACTGACCTCCCTCTTTACACAAGAACAGCTTAAAACTTCGCTTTTCGGCAAGCAGTACATATCTTGCCCAGTAGATTTTGGGAATTTCTTACCATGATCATCATATTCAACTTTACAGCGCTGACAATCTGGATAAATGCTTTGTTGAGGTAAACTTCTTGGGATAATTGCACTGATGTGGCTGTTATGATCATCTTCTGAAGCACACAAAGTGTGTCCTGAAAATTCCCTCCACTCTCCTTTAACATGAGTGCTTGTATTTGGGGTCCATGTGACTGGAATAGTTAATCCAACCACTACAGGATACTCGAAACCGAACATTCTGCTACCATCAACTGGCAAAGACCTTAATTTCATGCGTTCCTCTTCTGTTGCTAGATTTGGAACTTCCACCTGGTACTCATCCCCTACACGAGGGTATACTCGTGTATCTTCATTGACTTCCTCTGGACATATGGGTTCTAGAAAATGCGGCTGGTCAACAAGCATCTCTTCAGGATTCCCTTCGTTATCCTTGATTTGAATAGTATCCATCTGCGCACACAAAAGAAAAAAAAACGGAGGTATAAGATTGGAATCCATGATATGTAAACCATAGCTCCGATATAATATATATACATGAACAAACAGATTTACCAGATATTCTTCTCCGTTCTTGATTTCAAGATAATTCATCTGTAACATAGCAAAGGACACAGTATATTAGTCCATGTTTTGTCAACTTTCATCTGAACAGCAGAACATAAACCTAGGATAAATCTGCAATATACTTTTCATGCAGATAAGAAGGGAAATAGTCTTACCATGAAAGTTGGTGGATATAAAATTGGCTTTAGCCAGACCAAAATCAAAAGACAACTTGTGTCTTAGTATTCACAGATATACTGCACAAAAGAAGCATATAGCAGTTAAGGTGTTTGTTGGAACATAGTGAATTAAGTACTACAGAACTATCGAGAAACTTATTTACTAACAGTACAAAATATGCCAAAGAAAGTAGCTGTCCAAACAAATAAAGTTAACACTAACAACTATGTACCTAGCTAGAAGCCTAGAAAGAAAACTACTTTGATATAAGTATCAATTGATTTCAACTAATTTCCTGGGATAAATGAGGCGTAGATGAGTTTGGACCTGGACCATCTCCATGACCTGACTAAAACTTAGTAGCTGATAACAGTATAGCTCAAAACACGAAGCGCGGAACATACAGAGAATAGAATAATAAACACATGAGTGGTTTAGGGTGTGTATGCTCACATGTGGTAAAAAGCACTTGTACATTTCGAAATTTGAGTAAAAAATCATATGCGCAGATTGTACGAATATATGTGTACCAGGCTATAGCAAATAATTGAGTCAAAATATTTATATTTTCTGAGCTGTATGAGAAATGTACGTGCATAGTTGATACATTAGTCATTTATCTCTTTGCATTTTTGTACAAAAAATAAACTACCATATTCTAGCACAAGGTTTTGCTAGCACAGATATTTTTTGCACAATTTAGAGATATTTTTTTCACAATTTGTGAAAACATGGGAGTACCTTTTTCAGGCTAATAGAAGAGGATGCACATGGGCACCGAAGATCCTGACTCAGAAAGCTACAATTGAAGGAATACAGTAAGAATGAGTTATTGCATGAACCAGGTGATATTGTGTAATATGCCAAAGACATTGTTTAAAGTCTTAACAGATCATCCTTTTGCATTTGTATGAAAAACAAATTGGACAAGGAAACATGGGCCAAGAACAAACAAGTGTTTATTACGCTGATATCTCGCGGTTCTAGAAAATCCTGCAGAATGTTTCCATGACAGTTGGGGTTCTAGTCCAACAAATCATCCCATATATATGGAATACTAGATTATCAAGTGGTACTCCATACACAGCAAATAAATTCACAATAAACTGAATGGATCATTGATCACGAGGATGTTGACAGGGGATCTCTGGCTGGAGAAGGCCACACAGGAGATCAGAAAAAGTTGCATCAGAACAAGGGGGCAGGGGGGAGTGCTCGCCAAGCTGGGGTACCAGATCTGGTGAACGGTAGAATCAAAGTATGTAACTCACAACATATATGCTAACACATAACTCAGTTACCTTTTCTACTGGAGTTTTGGTTAAAATGTTTGTCTTGGGGACCTCTTGAATAACGACCTACATCTAAAAGTGTTGTTATCATTGAAACTGCCTGCAGGGCAGCCATCTGCTAGTGCCATGTTGAACTATAGCAACATCAGCTGCCAACTGCCGAGCTACAAGTGGCCAAGCAGATCATTCCTCCCATATTTAAACTGGAACTTTGTGGGCACTGGCTAACCTAAACAGGAAAAGAAAAGCAACTCACGGTGCCTAAAACCTACACATGCTAAATTTGTTAGCCTGTTGTTTCATATGCAGTGCATAGAAAATTCAGGAGTTTGTTGCAGCCTCAAAAAGTGACAGAAGTTTCTAGAACCAATTGAATCGAGTACTACTACAATTGTTCATAAAATAAGAAGTTATAACTCCCAAGCTAGCAAGAAGGCAAACTATCCCAGTAGAAGTATCGATGGATTCAACCAGTTTTCTGACTGGAAATGGACCAGGAAACAACATTTAGGCATGAGTCTGGACCACCTATGATCCGACTAAAACTTAGCAACTGACAACAGCATAGCATAGCTGAAACACTCATATACAGAAGTACGGAACATAGAGAATAGAAGCCACAGTTTAGGGAACAGAAGTCACAATGATCATTGCACGGACAAGGCAACAGGTATTACGTCAAAGACATCATGTAAAAGGTAGTATTAGAACATTGATTTGCATTACAGTGCATGGTTCTAAAAAATCCTGGGGATTGAGCCCACAACAATTGAGGCTCCAACAAACCATACAACAATTTAGGCTCCAACAATACAGAGTATTGGGTTAGTATCAATTGGTACCCTCTTCTGTAGATATTGCTCCTGGCAGTTGTTTGTACCTACGGTGTCTGAATGTCTAATTTACCAATGGTTATTAACATGTATAGTTTTGAATTACACATTTGCTAGGAAATGGATAAAAACTTCCCCAAAATGAGCAGTAAGCACGACCAGAGTTTAAAAGTCCAGCAAACATAATGTGTGCAAAAGCATAAACTACTTCTGCATTCAAACATTTCTTACTCTAAAATCCAAATCTAGGCGGTATTACTGCGACGAAGCAAACCCCAGAAAAGTTATTTTTCGACAACCACGGCTGCATTTTGCAGTCACTTCGCTCACCAGCATTTTTACTAACACTTGATACAAATTACAGGATATGGTCGATCCACACTGATCAGCACCCAAAAAAAATGGGGGGAGGGAGAAAAAAGTGCACCCGCAATTTGGGTTCAAAGTCATACACGGTCAACTGAGATCGATCTCGCGCGCCGAAAAACAGAAGACATAATCCAGCCATGGGTGAGTGGATCGGATTAGTACAGCACCACGCAGCTAACAAATCTCCGTGTTACCAACTGACGAGGAGATAAACGAAAAGGATTTGGATTCGATTGCACGCACGCAGGCAGCAACGAAAAGATCCATCGAACCGTGGGTGTATGGATGGGTGGATGGATCGGGTAAGCACAGTGCCACGCAGCTGACAATCCGTCGGACGAAGTTAGGCGCACTTACCAAGAAGAGAGGCCAATCTCACGGCTGGGATGGATCTCCACTGCACGCCACGCCTCGCCAGCCCACACTCCTCCGGCGGACAGCAGGAGGACGACGAGGCGGCTGCGAGCCGTGAGCTCCTGCGAGGCGGCGAGCGTGGCTGGGTGGAATGGAAGGAGTGGGAGAATGGAGGCGCTGGCGCTGGCGTTGGCGAGGACGACGGTGTGAGAGGGGTGCGTTGTTGAGACCAACGGAGGATGCAGGGGTAGAGCCGTACAGGTGGCCTAAGCCGGGCCCGGACCGGGCCGGGCCGGGCTGACCGGAGGCGGAGACGCTCCCGTCGGCCGTGCGGGTACGGGTCGCACACAGCTTTGGCCGGATTCGTGCTGTGTGCTGGTGCTACTGCCTCGCCGAGACGAATCCAGGAGGCTTGCGATGGATAGCTGACGATGATTTTGCGCTCTTGGTGATAATGAGGTGGAAACTTTGCCACTTCCGAAATTGGAGAAATGTGGTTACTCGAATACGAGTGTTTTTTTTTCTCGGGCTTGTTGCGTCTTTTTCCAGCGTGACACCAAATACGAGAGCTTGGAAGGGAAAAGTTATAGGATCTGAATCAGAAAAATTATGCACCATCATGATCCAGCTGTCATCACTCCTCTTTTTTTTCTATATTATTATAAGCTAGCTGTTACCACGCTCTTGCCCGTGGATTTTGTGGCATCGATTTAGAGATGTGTGCATTTTGGGTTGTTGCGTAAGTGTCTGAAATAGTTAAGCAAAGGTTAGTATAGGTCCATAGATTCCTAATCACTCTACTCACCATTACGAACCTAGTAGGCCCTTAAAATAGGGATGGGGCATCTATTTACGCAATGTTGTCCCCACTTTCTATTCTGTCAATATACGTGAGAAAAAGACAAACAAAAAGCGCATGCTTTAAATTTACCGATGATATCTTGCAACAGAAATCCCCATCAAAAATATATCTTGTAGTAGAAAAACGGAAAATGTATCCGGCGAACCACATCTTTTTTGCAACAAAATGGAACGCACTCGATGATGTCCGTTTTAGAGTGCGTGACTCGTATTGTTCGTTGTTGGTTTCTTTCGCGGGCGAGGCGTGCAGGCGTCGTGGGTAGTGGGCTTTTCGGTGTGCATGGACATTTTCTTCTAGCCGTTTACTCCATGGCCGGTGGGCCACTGGAAAGCACTGCACAGGGAACCAATCGTTGCGAGCCGCCCAATTGCATCTAGTTCCACCCGGCGTCTTCAATTTAAGGAGTGCGCCTGTTCGAGTTATGGAAACCACGTTGCACTTCCCCCATTTCTCTCTCGTTCTCATCTTCTCGGCGAGCGGCTGAATCGGTGATTGTCTTCTCGGTTGTCGGCGGCGGATCGTCGGTGCACTCGCATTATGAATCCTTGTCGTCATTGATTTGTTGAGGAGGGAGGGCGCGCAAGTGCTCATGGGCAGTAGGATCCACGCATTTTGCAGCGTGTTTTGAGGGTTGTAGTGATGATTCGCACCAGGAGTCCACTTGTTGGTTAAATTCGACGGGTGAGGGAGTGATGACCCACAAGTATAGGGGATCGCAACAGTCTTCGAGGGTAGTATTTCACCCAAATTTATTGATTCGACACAAGGAGAACCAAAGAAATTTATGAGCCTTGGCAGTTGAGTTGTCAATTCAACCATACCTGAAAAGTTATTTCTCTGCAACAAAGTGTTTAGTAGCACAGTAATATGATAGTTCGGTAGTAGCAGTAGCAGTAGAAATAGTAACAGTAACAGTAGCAACGATAGTTTTGTAGCAACTGTGACAGTAGCAGCAACAATAGTAACTTAGCAAAGACAATATAAGCAAAGCATAGCCATTGAATCAGTGATGGATATTGTATGGATGATGTTCATCATGTAATAGTCACAACCTAGAATGATACACAATAGCTCCAATTCATCAATTCGGTGTAGGCATATATTTCGTATATAGTCATACATGCTTATAATAAGAACTTGCATGACATCTTTTGTCCTACCCTCTCGTGGCAACGGGATCCATAAAGAAATCTAAGGGTAATTAAGGCCTCCTTTTAATGAAGAACCGGATCAAAGCATTAACACATAGTGAATACATGAACTCCTCAAATTGCAGTCATCCCCAGAGA